CTTTTCTTGGGGTCTTTCATTTCATTACTCTTACATCTTACAGTTAACACACCAATCCCCACTGACCTTGGGTCAGATGTCACACAGTTCTGTCTGAAAACAAAAGACCAGGAGAAGCCTATGCTACAAAAGCCACAAAGCCCCTTGGGTACCAACAATTTGGGGGCTGAACCCTGAGAATTTGGGGTCACAGGGGCTTGGCAGTCTTCGTCAACAAGTCATGGGTTCAAAGTTGGACCTGCCAACACACCTGTGCTCAGCAGGCTGGTGATACAGCTTAAGTGCTACAGTAAGAGATAAAATTATCAAGAGGGTCCCAGCCTTCCCTGGAAACAGCAAGGCAGATAACAAATCCTCTGAGCAAACAAGATGGGAGAGAGGGGGGCTGGAAGGACAACTGGCTAGGGGGTAATACTGATTTTTTCAAAGAAAGCATCAATTATAAAAACCATATTTCTTCACTACAGCAATGTCTGAAAACCAGAAAACGAAAAGCACACTGAAATCTTCTCTTCTTCATCACAAGTCATGGTTAAATGTTTTGGTGTGTTTCCAGATCTCTGCTTCTCTCTATGTATACAAATACACTGAATTTTTAGGGCATGTATACATACGTGTTTAAAACTTGCTTGTGTTTTTAAGACTGGAATCACACAACATAGTATATATGCTGGAACAAGTTCCTAAACCCTTTGGGGCACTGGTTTACTGAGCTGTGAAATGGAGCTAATACAACCTGCCTTGTAGGCTGTTGGGAGAATTGACTCAGATCATAGAGGTAAAGGAGATGGTCTAGCGGCTGGGGCCTAAGAGACCATCGACAACAGCTGCTACTGTTGCTGATATTACCCAAAGGACATTTTCTTTTCTCTCTGTGGTTCTGAATTATAAGCTACTGGGTGTTTTGTTTTGAGGGTCTTGTTATGGAGTCCTTGTTGGCTGGTACCTGATATATGGTCCAGGCTAGCCTTGAATTTGCAGCAATCCTCCTGCCTCAGACTCCCAAGGATTTAAGATTACATAAGTGTGGGCTATCCATGCAGCTTTAAGCTGCTAGTTTTAAACTAGCTAAAATTTAGCAACCAAAACATTCCAAATCATAGAATGCCACAGTGGCACTATTTGGCAAATGGACTGTCAATTCCTCAAGCCCAGTGTCCCTGAACATAGAAGCCCTTGCATTCCTGCCCAAAGCCAGCACTATGCATTGCAGGCACCTCCTTGTGGGGCTCCAGGTTGCCCTTCAGCACACTCTGGGCTGTATAGAAGTAGGAGAGAATGTTTTTTTCTCCACATGGCAAGCCCTGAGGGAAAGGACATGTGTCTGAAGGAGGCTTGTGCCTGTGAGGCTGTTATATGTGGGGGAAGGGGTTTTCTGTGCTAAAGGAGCTGGGGGGTTCACATTGTAAGGCTGTCTTTGGATAGATATGACCCTTTTCTACCTTCCCTAACCTTCTCTCTCCCTTCCTTGACTGTGTCTTGTTCTTTTTCTTTTCTTTTAGCTTCCCTGCCCTCCTCTTCTCTTTAATCACCTGTTCACTCCATCAACCTTTCATCTAAACAAGATAACTAACACTAGCAGATGACAAACATTTTCCTTCCACTGACAGAGCTGGCATGGAAAAACCAAGAACAGTGATTTGTTCAGAAGCTCAAAATAGAATGGCAAGTAAGCAAATATCTGGTCCCAGGACAAAGCCCTGATAGCATCTATAAGCAGGCAGGAAGATAGGAGTTGGGTGGGAGGGTGGGGGGTAGGGGGGATAATACAGGGAGAAGAGCAGCCCCATGTATCCCAGACAAGCCTCAGGAGGCAGAACACCAGCCTAGAGGGGACACTGGCTTTGGACAGACTGTTCCTCCTTCCTCTAGGTATAGGAACGGAAGAAGAGAAGGATGTTTGGAGAGCAACAGGTTTTGGAATCAGGCCGGCCATCTGGCCCTTCAAGCCTTACCTGAATAAGATGAAGCCTAGATCTGGGCCTGACCACGGTGGGTGGAGAGAAGATCCATGGCTGAGGGCAGAGGAGTGGGGTGAGCTGGGGACAGGTGATACCATATTCTAATGGGTCCTGTCAACATTGGCCTTCAGACTTCTCCAGAGGTATGCATCAAACAAGGGGCAAATGGGAAGATGCTGGGTGGCCCAAGGGAGTCCTGGAACAGCTCCCCTCTCATGCCTGTCCAGTACTCATTCGAGTGCCTCTTGATGGACACTATCGCTTTGGTCTTGCCTGTATGTAGCATGGTGTCTGAGACACATTGCAAACTTTTGCAACACTGAAAACCTCATGACAGTCCAGCGCAAGCAGGAAAGCAACCAAACCCCAAAGTGCCAGTGAGCTGGAAGGATAGAGAGGGAGCAACAGGAGGTTAGGAGGCAACTGTGGTTGAGGCACAGAGGGTATTCAGAAGCAGTGAGGAAGGGGGCAAGGGAAGGATCAGAGGGGAGAAACTAAAGCCATGGATGGGAGAATGGATGGAATGTCACCAAGTGTCACTTGCTGGGTAGATGATAGTACGCTTTAGATTATCAAATGTTTTCTGCATGTGTGTTTGGAAATGATGGAGGAATAGCTATTGTGTTTTGAGCCCTCTTTAGGTAAGGGCAGAGTCCTAGAGGCAAATTCACATTTTCTGTGCTATCCAGCCAGGCAGCAATAGAGTTCAGATGAGGATTCAGTACTGTCCTCTCAGCACAGCCTTCTTCAAGGGCTCTTTGAGGGAGGGAGGTGACCTCTGTACAAGTGACAAATACCACAGGTAAGAACTTGGCGGGAGCAGGAGAGACTACCAGTAAGCCTTCTGAAGTCATTGAAGGTGGTAGAGATAGGGGTAAAAGGAGCTGAGGATGTCCAAACAAATGGATGGAAGCCTGGAGATAAGCAGATAGCAGTAACAGGGCAGTGAGGAAGGGTCCCAGATGCCATGCCAGAAACCCAAGAACATGGTGGCACTGGCCCCATGACATAGTAGTAAGGACAGGCGCCTGATGATCGTCACCTTGACCTGGGAACAGAAGGCCACTGGAGAGAGTACAGCACTCCATGGTTCCCCAGGGGACAGGAGACACAGAAGGACTTGGATAGGAGTAGGGTCCTGAGGAAGGACTGGGGTTTGAAAATACTCCAGAGAAAAGCAGAGACCCTAAACAAGGCGAATCTATTGTAAGGGCTTTATATCCTGATCCTTTCCTGTCTGCAAATACAAAAATTCCTCCTTCCTGCTCCACAGGTATGAAGAATAGAATCCAGACCAGCAGTACCTAGAAGGTATCTTTTTTTTTTTTTTTGGTCTTTTTGAGACAGGGTCTCTCTGTAGTCCCACCTGGCCTGGAACTGGCTTTGTAGACCAGGCTGGTCTTGAACTCACAGAGATCCGCCTGCCTCTGCCTCCCAAGTGCTGGGATTAAAGGCGTGCGCCACCACGCCCAGCCCTAGAAGGTATCTTTAACTAAAAATAATTTCCAAAATAAACCAAGGTGGAAAGAGACATGACAAACACAATGTGGGCCCAGGCATTGATGAATCAGGAAGCACTCTAAGATGAATTAGGATTCACATACATAGCAGGGAGCGCACAGTTCTCTACTCTCAGCAGAGCTGGGAGAAAGCATGGGTAAGAAAACTCACTATGACCAGAAAAATACACAATACAGAGATATGGGTCAGCTCACTCGGGGCTGTGCCCAGAGAACAGCCACTGGCTTTTATCTGCTGCTCCTGAGCTATGTCTTTGCTATAAACATGGCTTCTTGGGAAGAGGATGACGGATCCAAATCAGGGTGACCATGGAATACCTCCAGGCTTCCAGGACACAGTGTGGCTACTTAAGTGAGCCTTTTCAGAGAGATGGTTGCAAAACAATGAAAATTATGGCTGAACTGGTCTCCATCATCCTGAACCAATGTCCAGTTTCATGAAGCATCTGATTTTAAGTGAGTGCTATGGTCCCCAAAATGGAGCCTTTCTTCTGAAGCTCCAAATTCTGACAGGCAGTGAGAACCTTCCCCTCATAAAGATTATGTTCTTTTATTATCATCTGCTGACACTGTTTCAAGACAATCTCTTTATCACACTATACGAGAGAAAAAAATATTCATAAGGGAAATAGATCCAAACCAGACATATAGACCGTTATTTTGAGTATACTACTGAAGGCAGACAGTGAAGACACCTTCAAGAAGTCATCGCCAAACCCCTCCTTCATGCCATTTTTCTACAGAGTGTGCTTACCTGCTGCTATCTTACTCCATTTAAAAATATAATTATGTATTGAATAACTTCATCTTGCATATGAGGAAGTAAAGTCTTACGCCAAATAACCTATCCATCATCATCCCTTCTACTAAAACTTGCTTACTCAACAGTGAAATTCTCATAAAAAACTTCAGAGGGTTATATAGTTGAGTGTGGTAACACAGGCCTATAATCCCAGCATTCAGGAGGCTGAGGCACAAGGACTGCTGTGAGTTTGAGAATAGCCTGGACTACACAGCAAGACCCTGTCTCAAAAAATAAAAAATAAAGCAAACAATCAAATGAACAAAAAGAAGGGGGGAGGGGGGAAGAAGAGGAAGATGAGGATGAGGAGAAAAAAAATCAGAGGGTTTTGAAGTCTGGCTACTACTCCCAAACCACAACTAAGAGAAATGCTAGGGCATGACTGAAACCACAAGACCTTGGGGATCTCGACTGTTCCTGTCACCAGTTTCCAATGTGTCTTAGGGAGAAAAACCATACAACCTCTTGGCGCTTTGGCTTCTCCACACTGAGAAATGGTAAAAGTATTAGTCATTCTGCTGACTCCTTCAGAATGCCACGGCATATATGGAAGCTGTTTAGAAACAAAAGCACCTTGCAGTCAGGTGCTCTGAACCCTGTGCCATTTGGAGTGTTTTTTGATTAACTACCACCCGTGACAATTATAAATTAAAGTCTTAACATTCTTGGTCATTCCTGGAAGAGGAAATAGGAGGGCAGGATGCATGGCAGGCTTACCAGCAGTAGTCCAGCAGGTGTGGGGGCAGCACAGGGATGTACACATGCTGCCAGTACATAGGGTAGAGCATTGCAGCTGAGCCGTGGATGCAGGCAGTCAACTGCAACAGAACAGAGTAGATAATCAGATCTCAAGGCAGAGGGAGAGAGAGCACCACAGTTAAATAGAAACCCATTGGTGGCTCAAAGCCATAAGCAGAAACAATTCCAAGTCAACTTACTCCAGGGTAAACTGATTTAATAAAACCTTTCTCTTCAAAACACACAATTCCATCCCCCATTATACAGTTAGCATGAGGGTTGGGGATACTGCTCAGTGGTAGCACTCTTGCCTAGTATGCCCGAGGCCCTGGGTTGAATCCCCAAGAACACATCAAAAAAATGAATGAATGAATAGAAAATTTAAAAGCTCATTATATTTAGGGTAGAAAACTGAGAAAATAATGTGATAAAAAGTTTTTTCTCATTTTTATGTTTAACATTATTTGATATCATTTTCCCACATCCTTAAGTACTCTTAGAAAAACGCACCCTTTAAGAATTCTCAATGAATTCTCATATTCTACTTTGCGGCTCTTCTATCATTAGGTTATACAGCTGAATCGGGTCAATGATTTCGATATGGTTCCTGGGTGTGGAATCCACAGCCAAGACTTACAATTTATGTTAAGGTACTCACCAAATTTAAGAGCATTACATGTGAATGTACTAAGATGAACAGATACTCTCACACTTCCCCACACACTACAACACTGGTGCTTCACCAGAACTAAGTACCATGGTCAAGTTTACACTTATTTCTTATTTTTATTTTTACTCCTCTGATTATGACTGAGGGTGAATATTTTTAGCTATGTTTTCTGACTCTGTTTCTTAGGTAAATAGTTTATACATTTCTTCACTGACTTTTTCAACAAGTGTTAGTATCTTTTAAATTGATTTTATAAGCAAGCACTGACAACATGTAAAGGATGTCACCCCTTTGAGATATTTTTGAAAACAAATTACTCTTCATTTTCTTTGAATTTCCGAGTGAAGAGGTTTAAATAATTATGGAAATTAATCTTTTCCTTAGTGATGATTTCTACTATGTACCTAAGAAAAACCTCAAAATTTTCTGCCAGTATTTTACTCTTTTATCTGGAATGAATCTGGGTTTAATAACCGAGGTGAGAATTTCTTTTTCTATACAGTTCATCAACTGTTCCAGCATGGTTTCAGAACTCATCCTTCCTTTCCCTGTTCTTTTGAGAAGACCTTATTCTGTATTTCTTCTCATTTTTAGAGGAGAGAGGTCATAAAATCAGTATTTGATATAATTAAAAACTGAATGAAGGTAATGAAAAGTAATATAATCGCTGCACAACTCAAAATGGCAAAAGAAAGGAAAAAAGGCAAACTTTGGGCACAGTTACTAAGTGACAACAGGCAACAACACATACTTCTTTCTGCCGTTTTCCTTTATGCTTCTTTGGTCTCCCGGAAGCCTGTCCCCACGAGGCCTTTGCTTCTTTTGGAAGCTCTTAACTGGTCTTTGTTGACAGAAGGACATTTACGTGGTGAAAGAATGACGTGCCAGAGCCCAGTTAAAAGAATCCCAGAGGTTAGTATAACATGACCGGCTTTAAATTGGATATTCTGCTGATGCTTCGTAGTTGTGAGAGCTACTCCCCTCACCCGCTCCAGACCTGCTCTTTAAATTAGGTACATGCCAGAGAGAAGATCTAGGCAGTATGGAGAGCTGTTCCCAGGTACTGTGAGGGCACCTTGGTCCAAATGCCCTTCCCAGTCTATTCTGGTAATTTCCCTGATGAGGCAGCTACCACATACATAGATATGACTAAACCCTATAGGATTTTGGAAGGATGCACATCCTTGGTGGTGTCAAGCGAGTGGACATAATCAGTGTGCTCTTTGCTACCCCAAAGTCAGGCAGGAGGGTTACAAAGGCCTTGAGTGCCAGCTTTTCTGCTCATCTTTTAACCAGAGGCCTGAGTGCTCTTCCTAATGGGCAGGCCCAGTCATATCACTTCAGGGTATGCCTAGAACAGAACATGTTTGCCAGATCCCAGTCTATTTGTAAAACAGCATCTCCAACCAATCTCAACTGCCTTCCCCCACTTTGCCCTTGGGACATATCATTTGCAGAAGTAAGGTGTTGTGGACTTCCTTTCCTCCCTTCTCTATTTCATTCATCTCCCAAAGCTGCTGGGATTTGTTCTGCTAGCAAACTCTTCCTCAGGCCTCTCTGAATGAGTTCCCATCTCCTCTCTGAAGGCTTGCCTTGGCTCCCTGTTACAGTAACAGTCTGCAGTTTGGCTGTGGCGTATACAAAGACCCTGACTCTCTTCATCCCCATGTTCTCAGTGGCACTGCATATACATAAGTGCTCATCAATTCACTGTGTATCTTGAATAAATAAAAAATGATTCCTACTTACAATATATACTTATAATGTCAAGAGAGCTAGTGGCTTGGCTTATACAAGTAAGGTCCAAAATTTCTATTAGCTCCACAGAGTGGAACATACGATTCAAATTTCAAAACAAGGGCAAGCTAAGACATACAACTATACTACTTTTGAAAAAACTGAGTGATCCAACCATCCGTTCAATACTATGCCTATGCTATAACTCTGTAGCATATCAAACAAATGAATGTAAGCACTTCAAAAATCTGTAAGATACTATGCAAATACAAGGTAAGAGCATCATACGAATTCATCTGTAATTCTCAGCAATCATTCAGGATGGTCTTTTGGGTCAAATCTTAACTCTAGATAACATTCTTTCCCTGTCTCCTTAGTCTCAAAATAAGTCTATCAGACTAAATGGCAACTATTTATCCTTCACTTAAAAAAAAAAAAAAAAAAACACAGGGCTTCGTGGTGCATGCCTTTAATCCTAGCACTTAGAAGGCAGAGGCTGGCGGATCCCTGTGAGTTCAAGGCCAGCCTGGTCTACATAGTGAGTTCCAGAAAAGCTGGGGCTACAGAGAGACTCTGTCTCAAAAAGACAAAAAAAAATAAAAAAATAAAAAATCAAGCTTTTAAGGTGCTTCATCACCTCATTAGAGGTTTTCTATGGGCCAAATTTCTGCAATTTGGTAAGACACATTCACTCATTTTATTAAGAAAACAAACAAACCAAACAGGCAATTGTTTGGCTCTTTTCCAAAATATGAAATGATACATATTATGTGTATTGTTACTTAAGAAAAGTGGATAAGCTGGCTGCAGTGGGGTGGGATGTCTCACTAAACATCCTTGCTGACCCAGAAATAATGACCTGTGTCCTGTAAAGCATCACTCGACACCTCTAGGAGTCTGAAAGACTATGCTCATTCCTTAAATATGATAACATTTTAATGTAACAAAAGTATACAATATGGAGTATAGTCAACAAAGGGGTATTGTGAATATTTAATTAAAGTGTAAGTTGAGGAAAATGATTCTATCATATATCTCACTTGGTGGGAGAAAAGAAAGTACGTGTAAAATTTGCCCAAAGTCATTAGTCACAATGAATATTCATCAGAAGCCAATTATCAATTCCTTTTAATGACACCCCAAAAGATTTTGCCCTGGAGCCACTGAATAGTATAAGGCTCCAGACAAAACTAGACAAATTACACAGCCAACAGCCCGTCTAGCCAGGACACAGGCTGTAAACCACTGCTGGGTGGTGGCAGCACTTTAGCAAATTCTGTCCTCAATTAAAGGTGCACAAGGTCGGTTATATCTTGGAGCTTTATATATGGCTCTATTAGTTTCCTGGGAGGCTAAGGAGAAGGAGAAAAGACAGTGTGAGTAGTACATGAATAGAGAATGATCAATGACATAGGTGAAAAAAAATCACAAGGACAGTCTTTTTACGCCCCCTCCAGTTTAAGGTATTTCTAAGAAACAGTACCCAGATTGATGGTTAAATCTTAAGATCCTAATATTTCATCTGGTTCCTATAGCAGCCCTGTAACTTAAACAATAAAATCCCTGCAATGCACGTACCAGACACTGTGTTAGGGTTGGGCCCATGGGCAGCCTCACTTTAGAGGCATGTGCATGTGGGGACACAGTCTCAGAGGTGAAATAATTCCCCAAGGCCACATAGCTACAAAGTGACAAAACTGGGACTCAATGGTTCTGTAGATAATCATGGCCACTGTTTCTATTACACATAAATTAACTCACAATTGTTCCCACCCTGTGCCATCACTATGCTGAGGATTCTGAAATATGAGTATTCTCTCTGTTGGCACTGTCCAATTGTGTAGATAGGCATTTACCTTGCTGTTAGATAACCAAGTAGCTAGGACAAAACAACAGTAGCAGGAAGTAATCATTTATTTTTTAAAAGGGAAAAAAAACAGACAAACTTTATTACATGCCTAAGGCATGGGAGTATTGGACTAGAAAATAATCACACATTTCTGATCACTTCCTGGGGATTAGTTACATTAACTAAGCCGTGGCCGTGTCTTTAATCCGCAGGAAATTCTAGACAAGGAAGTAAAGATCTGTAGTCACAGGAAAAACCGGTTTACACACCAGCTTGGACATACAGATCTGAAAGCCTTGCTTTTTGCCATGTTCCTTCTCATATTTTTACATGGAGTCTTCCACTAACTGACTTTCTGAGCTGTGCAAACCACCACCTGTCTTGTGTCTCAATTTCCCCTATATATAAAGTGAGAGGCTGGCCTGTAAGATCCCTGTGCCCCCTTCCAGCTTTGATTTAGAAGAACTGTCATCCTTTGATGTAAAGGATGCTCCTCATCTTCCTGTTGACTTTCTTCAGCTGTACTGGCTAAGAAGAAATCACTGAGGGTCCATTTCAAAGTCACTCTTGTTTCTCACCTCTGTTGCCACAAGGACCCCTTCAAACTCAGGAACCACCTTTCAGCCACTCCAGCTCCATTACCTGTCTGTAGAAGGCACAGCCTTCCTCCATGCCTGCCCCCTCTCCCCTCAACATGCTGAAGAACTCAGAGGGATGGTGATCTAAGGAAACCAGGAGTGTTCCAGCTGCAGGCTCCACAAGGACAGAGACCACGTTCAAAGCAGTTCTTTATTTCCAGTTTTGCTTGACACCGGGCAGGTGCT